GTAATGACTTAACTTTTCTGATCTCTATTCATGAAAAGAGTTTTTGGGCACAGAAGTAGATGGTGTCCAACATACTGAGTGCCTGGCACACAGTAGGCACACAATGAAAGTGCAACATTATTACAAAGGTCTCCTATTCAAAGACAGCTTGGGGAAGGAAAAAGTGTAAGAAGGCGGCATCCATTGTCTGCTCCTCCCATTCCCACATCCCTCCTCCAGGTCTGTGAAACCTCAGGTGGGAACAAAGAGAGGAGGAAATCCCCACCCCAGGAGCCCCGCCCAGCTAATGAGAGGTCTCAGTTCACCAGGACAGACAGGTACGAAGGCAGTCAACAGTCTCACACCAGCCAGGTGGATTAACAAGCCAGCCACTGAAATTTGAAAGCAATTTTTTTTATCCCTTCTTGACCTAGTTCTGGTCAAAGGTATCACTCTTCAGTCTGGGTATATTAGCTGCGTGATGAGAGGTTGGCTTGTGCAGGCTCAAAGATGCTGTTGGTGCTACCAGTAGGGATTAAGAAAAGCCCATTAACCATCTACCTCTGCTGGAAGAGGTCTGCTCCTCAGACTTCAAGAATAGGGAAAGCTGGGGTGGGGGCTTGCAACTGTACTTAAGTTCCTGCTTGGGATGCCTGCATCCAATGCTGCAGTGTCTGGTTCCAGCCCCAGCTACCCCATTTCCATCCAGCTTCCTGCTAATGCATCCTGGAAGGTGGCAGCTGATGGCTCAAGTTCTTGAGCCCCTGCCACCCAGGTTGGACACTGGGTGGAGCTCCTGGCTCCTGGCTTCAGTCTGTCCCAGCCTGGCTGTTGCAGGCATTTGAGGAGTGAATGGGGGTATGGAAGATGCTTCTCTCTTGCCTTTCAAATAAAATGCAAGTAAATAAAATTACGACCCTGTAGGCACTATCACCCAGCTAACCACTTAGGGTGAGCAAAATCAAACTGCATGTGTTTATTCCCCCTACAAGGGAAAAGTGAGGCACCTAAGAGAAAGGTGAGGCAGAGGCACTGTTGGGAGCACCCTGCAATGAGGAGGAGGGGGAGGGCGGAGAGCCAGACGCACACGCCTCTCTTCATCACGCTCATCTATCACTGCCTGCCCTGGAGGGTTTGTGAAGGGGAACCTGGAGCCACCTTCATCCTCTTAGAAATGAAAATATCCCACTTCCTACAGACACATGAGATTTGCAAGGATACATCTGGGTCTCAACTAGTCTCCACAACATTCGCTGTTCCCAGACTCACTGTACTGGGGCCAGTAAGCCCTGCCTACTCTCTCACTGCAGAAGGAAAAGAAATCTACAGGGAGGGGCATCCCTGGAGCAGGAACCAAGCACTTGAGAAACACAGCTGTGTTTCCCACAGCAAGGAAAGACGGCTTAGCCGCCAGGACAATGGCAGAGCCACAGGCAGAGGCCTTTTCACAAAAGGAGACTTACAAGCCAGAAATAAGTCTAGAGAGAAGACGGTGACTGCTGGACAAAGGCAATGATGCAGAAGGGCTTCTCTTGAGTCTTGTAGGCAAAGGATGAGGCCTGGCAGGAGCAACCTCTGAGCACTCTGCCGTCCTGCCTTGAAAGAGAGAGGCGGAACGCTGCCTGTTACTCCGCTCTACCCCACAGGTGTGCGTCCATGCGAGTTAGTTCCTTGTAGCAGAAGAGCACAGGGCGTTGGGAACGGAGGGGCCTTCCCTGCTCATCACAGGAGGAGGCTCACCTGAGAGGCCCTCCAGACCATCAAAGGGCAAAGGGTGGGGGGGCATTTCCACAGTGAATGTGGTCCAGGTGCTCCCAAGAGGGGCCTTTCTAGTCACTGACCATTCAAGAAGTCTCACCTGCAGCCGGAGCCCATGTGCAGAACCTCTCTCTCCCCATATCTTGGGTTTCATAGAGGATGCCTTTGCCAGACAGAAAAGACCCTCTTTGATGGATATTGTGGTTCATGGACAGGGATGGATTGCTGGGATAAACACAGCAATGATACAGTGACCAGGCTCAAAGAAAACGCAAGGGAACACTTGATGAGCTTCTATTTACATAAGCAACTGTGCAACCATCTTTTCAAGTACAAAACAGTCCAGGGAAGGGGCCGTGGCCTTGAAGACGCACCACGTCCCAGATGTAACCACCACCCTGATGTTTCCTGTGGTTGACAACGTTTTTACATTGTTGCATTGTCGCCTTCATTTACATGGAATCCCTTGAGATGCACCTGTGCATGTCTGCCCGCACAGAGACGTGCAGGGTCTGCTGCTTTGGATCGTGAACACCCCACCCCCCACCCCAGCCACTGCAGGCTCCAGGGAAGGTTCTGTGGCCGCCATGTTCACACTGCATGATGGAACCGAGATTTTTACCCGTTCTTGTGAGGATAGGGGCTAGGGTTGTTTCCAGTTTGAAATTAACACCAACAAAACGGTTATGCATATCCAGGAATGTTTTGACTTTCATCTACTCATGTTTTTTTAATGTGAAAATTGGGAAACGTCGGTGTTCTGTAGGGGTGGGATTCCAGCACTTCTCTGCACACTTCCAGGAAGAAAGGAAAAGAGAGACTCGCATACTTGGCTTGGTGTTTATCCCTTTTACTCTTTAGATGCCCCTGGTTGTAGGAAGTCCTACTCAATGGAAAGTAGCTATATTCCCCTTTGCAGGTCCACCTGTTTCAGAAAAAATCTGAAATGAAGTATAAGCACCCAACTTATCCCTAATTGAATCTCAAATTAATCTACTGTCTATCAAGTTCCACTCCTTTTCTGAAGAAGCTGAACATTAAGGACTCACTCCAGACTCTAAACATAGCTGTCTGTCCCACCCATCAAAAATAATAATGCCAAGGGGGTCTGCAGGCTGGAAGACGGCCAATCTCCCTCCTCCCCATCCAGCCTCCTGCAGAAATTTCTCTTTAAAGCTGTGGGCATGATGGTGCCCCAACCTCGCACATGCCAGGCATCTATCCATCACAAAGGAAGTCAGACACGTTTGCACCAAGATTTTGCTTTGTGCTGCTGAAGACTAGAACATCAGTAATACAACGGGCAAACAGCTTCTCATTTCAAAAGAAAAGAACAACAACTATTTTAATAGACTAAGAGAAGTAACAGTATGTCTACCAGACAAGCAAGTGACTCAAATCAGTCTTGATAACACACCAAGTTCACTGAGTGTCGCGTCTAGCCTGCCAATTCCAGCTGTTTCCCTCCTAGAGGCAGGCATCCTCCCCATCTCAGATGACGCAGTCCTGGGAGCTGCGTTCCTGCCAGGTCACCGTGCACCTGCGGCTGAGCCCACGCTCCTGTGCATGCCCTTATATGTATCTGTTCCCACTCACGGTTCCTGAAGACTTCCACTACCACCAGCGCAAGATCCATGCTTCCAGCAGCTTTATGTACAACGACATGCAAGTTACAGTTGCAATAAAGCAAGACTTGCATCGAGTTCCTAAGACCAGTAGGAGGTTCCTGACGTCAGCAGCCCGACGGCACAGCCCAGGGGGAGCATGCTGGAGTGCTCAGGGACAGCAAGCCTTCCCATCTGGGGTTAAGTGTGTCCCCCAGCCCTGCATGTCCCCTCAGGTCCCTGCCAGATAGAAGAAGAGGTAGCAGGCTTCTAGGACGATCAGGCAAAAACCAGCCTTGTTTCCCCAGCGCTCCCCCAGAAGTCTCACCAGAAGCCAGAGAACTGGACTAAAAATCAGACTTGGGGTATCCAGGCTAAGAAGGAGAATAAAAAATTTGAGGTGGGCAGTTTGTTCCATAGATTCAGGAGTCCCTTCCTGGCATATGTGGGTCCCCAGGAACTGGGGAGCTGAACCTCAAAGGCAGGATAATCCCCAGCACTTTCTGGATGTCTGGACACGCGGTCCCAAGCGCCCTCGGGTAGGCAAAACACTGCACGGGGAGCCACTTGTAAAGAACAGCCACGATACAGAGCTCCGTGCTGGGCTCCACTCCCGTCCAGACAAGGATGGAGCCTTGGCACCTGGCACAGGGCTGCTGCTCCACACAGGAGCTCTGAGGGGCAGGTCGTGGTGGGACCCCCTGACGTGTCTGAAGAGGTGGGTGGGCCAAAGGACTTCCCACTGTCCTCCCCATTCACTCCCGAAAGGGGGTCAGCACTTCTCCGTCCTTTCCTGGGAAACACTCGGACTAATCAATGTGTCTCCTTCCAATACCTCCTAGGAGGAAACCTGCAGTGAGCTTTCAGTCCCAGGCCCAGACAGCAGGGCCTGCAGGAAGGCAGCAAGAAGCCCCGGGCCTGCTGCCCTGCGCACCGCAGACACAAAGCTCCCTGGAGGACCTGGAACCAGGGGTAGGGGCTAGCACATTGAGCATCCAACCAGGTCAAGGGAACTCTGCCCAAACAGCAGCAGCACGTGCCCTGTGACATCTGCAGGAGGATGGTGTTGGGGGGGGGGGGTCCTGATTCTAAGCAGCAGTGGCATCTGCCTGCTCCACAGCGCTCCTAAATGTCACCAAGCAAGGCACCTGGCCGGCACTTCCACTTCTGACCTCGGGCCGCTCGCAGCTGGTCTGCCTTCCTGGCCCCTCTTGGAGGGGGGCGGACCCCACACGCACTGAAACACACCTCTGACCTTGGCCTCCACCAAGCCGCGATCCGCAGGTGAGGGGGCAGGCGCCCAGCCCCCCGCACCCTTGCGTGTCCGAGCCGGCTGGCGCAGCCCCCCAGCCATCGACCAGGGTCCCCAGCGACCCTCCCGAGGCAGAACGCGGAGTCCCCGGTCCGCCAGCTGCTCCGGAGGCGGCTCTCGGTAGACTCAACAAGTTCCTGGGCCGCGCAGCGCCGCCTGCAGCCCAGAAAGCCGGAGGACGCGCCACGGTGGAGCCCCGCGCGCAGGCGGCAGCCGGCGGCAGCCGCTTCCACCTCCCCGTCCTCCAGCCCGGGCTCGGGCGTCGGCGGCGGGGGCTCCTCCACTCGCTCCCGATCCTCCACGCCACGCACGCGGCCCGGCCCGGCCCCGCGCCGCCCCCGCCCCCACCCCCGCCCCGCGGGCTCGGGGCTCCGCCCGCCTCGGTGCCAGCCAAGCGCACAGGCGGCGCGGGCGCGCGGCTCCCGGCGCCCTCTCCTCCGGCCGCCGGCTCCGCGGAGTAGCCGGGACCCGGGAGCGGCTGCAAGGACTTCCCTGCCGCTCCCTCCCCCTCTCCGCCCCCGCCTCCCAGCCCGGGCTCCGACATCGCGCCGAAGACAATTGCAGTAAATGAGGACATCGGAGGAGCACCGGGCCGAGTGGCTGAGGCTGGCTCCGCCGCGCCGCGAGCAAGCGAGCGCGCGGGCGTCCCGGGAGCGGGCCGAGCTGCTGCCTCCCCGCGCGCGTCGCTGAGCGGGGCCGGAGGGAGGCGAGCTGCGGCGCGGGGGCCGGCCGGGCCGGGCGGGCCGGGCCCGCGGCGGTGGAGGGGGCGGGCGGCGGGCGCGCAGCCGGCCAAGTCCCCGGAGCCGAGCTTCCTCCGCGCGAGCCCGGCCAGCTTTGCCGCGGATGCCCTGCCCGGAGCGCTCCGTGCCGCGCCAGGCTGGCCAGGGTCCGCGGCGAGACATGCCCGAGCCGGGCGCTGCACCGACCTCGACTTCTCTGTAAGCAGCGGAAGGTAAGCGGAGCCCCGCGTGCCCTCCGTCCGCGCCCCGGCTCCCTCTGCACTTGGTCGCGGGCAGAGCACCGCCCGGACGGGCGCCGACCCCGGCTCGGGCGCACGCACTCGCCGGAGAGCAGCTTCGCCGGGGGGCCGGGACGCGCGGGTGCAGCCCGAGTGGGGCGGGCGGGGGCGGGCGGCCGCGGGGGCGGGGGCGGGGGGCGAGGTTATGCAACCGCGTCTGGCGCGGCGCGGTCGCCGAGGGGCGTCTGGCAACTTTGGCGACGACCAGGGAGGCGCGGGGCTGCCCATCTGTGAGGCCGGCTCTAGACAAACGCCACAGCCTCGGGCGCGCCCCACAGCCCTGGCCGGGCAGAACTGGGGGGCCTTGGGGGCAGCAGCCTGCCCGGAACGTGGAGAGGTGCCTAAGAATTTCCCAAACTAAGGAGAACCGGCAAGCACGGCCGATTAACTTTGGGGGGCATAAGTCGGGGCACAGGGGCCCTGGCGCCAGCCGCTGGAGACGCGCAAGCAAGAGCGAAGGAGGCTGCGCACGTGCGACGCCGGAGCCTCCGCTCACCAGGGTTGGCACCTTCGCGGGGCTGCGGGCCAGGGTCGGCGCCCGCGGGGTGGCCGGGTGCCCGGCGTCCCGTGTCAGACCGGCGGGCGTGGGAAACCAACCGAGGCTGCAAACCGAGCGGCCCGGCGAGGGCAGCAAGGCAGAGCGAGCTCCCGGCCAGCCCGGGCCGGGGCAGCGCCTCCAGCCCAAAGTCAAGAGCCACAGTGTGCATCCTGCTGCTTCATGCCCAGGGTTCCCGGCTGGCGTCTCCATGACTGGGAGACGGGTAAGAATGCTGTGACCTCAGCATTCTACTACCCAAAAACACGCCCCAGGGAGATGGAGCCGGGGACACGGGGCTGCCAGGAGAGGGGGAGGAGAGGCGCCCGAGTCCACCGTCTGTCTAGCACATCCACAGAGCGCGGCTGCAGCCCTGTCCCCTCTCCTGCTGCGGGTCTGCGCTGGGGGCTGGCCGCCGTCTTGGGTCCCTGAGCCAGAAGCGGCAGCAAGGCAGCTGAATTTGACCTTGTCTGCTTAGGTGTTTGAATTCTGCGGAGGTGAAACTGGAGAGTGGGACGCAACTTTGGGCAGCCCTGCCGTGGCTGCCAGGCACATTTCACAAGAGCGGGGCTCATGCTAGCCGAGGGTGGACGGCTGTGGCTTGTGGGGCTCTCCCTGGACAACGACTTGCTCATGGGCTGCCCTTCCCTCTCCCAAGGTGACAGCACTGGGGATTGGATTTTCCAACACCACCCTAACCAGAGGCCCCGGGCGCTTGCCAAGGAGTAGTGCATACGGGAAAATGATACAACCTTCCCAAGCTTAGCTCAGACTGAGCAGAAACTGTCATGTGCTATGCAGAGGAGGGAGAGCCTGGCTTCCACTGTTCACATCTTGCTCTTTATTGCATTCATATCCTGTTGAATGTTACTTTCAAAGTTCATATTTATCTTTGCAATTTTCTTGCAAGATTGATTAGCAAACGTGCACAAGCAGCTCATGGGAAAAAATGGAAGTCCTGCCATCTGCATGCCTCACAAGATATTAATAATTTACTATCTGTGTTTACTACTTACATTAGATGGCACTGCTTCTCACGATGGTTTCATTAGAGGCGCATTGTGGAAAAAAAGTCTAGCACAGCTATCACTAATTGCATGATTTTGCATAAATTATGTTAGCTACAGAGAGTTTTGTTTTCTTCACAAAATCCATCATTTGCTTAAAAAGAATGACTCAGTTTAACTTCTTTAGCTAAAGGAAAGACCTCTACTTCCAAAGGATGCCCTTGAAGAGCAAAGTATGCCTTCAACTTATCCCAGTTGCCATGACTTTATATTTTATTATTGTGATTAAGACTTGGAGCTTTTACATAAATCAGGCCCTTTATTCCACTGGGAAACGTAACAAATGGTTAAGAAATAGGCTAACAAGGCAGACGCTGGAAGGCTCCATGGTTGCATAGAGAGCCTTCAGAAAGCTCCAAGGCAAGACGAATACTCTGGGACTGGGTTGACTCTGGGGGTTTCTCTGTGTTCCCACCATTGTTTTCCCCCATGGCACGGCGCGGGATTTTTGTCTTTTGTTCCCCCCTCTGAAGGGATACATTTAAAAATAAATAAATAAATGAAAGACTCATACATGAAAGGCAGCTGCCTACAAGGAGGACTCCTACACATTGAACTAAGCAGTCAGGAAATAGAAATGATTCTCAGAAAAAATAGTGCATCACAGCCGAGCGGCTGGACCGGCTCACTCACGGAGTAGACGTTTGTATTCTGTTTGCTCCAAACCATGGCTGTCTCATTTAGAGAAACAACTACAAAACTCTCTTGTATGAGCAGATCACTAGGTTAGGGCCAGGCGCCCTCACGGAGAACAATGATTGGGAAATGAGTACATCTGTATCCCAAAGCAGCGGTTCTGCTGACAGGCATTCATAAAGGAGTAGAGTGAGGACAGTGACAGGGTCACCAGCATTCATATAGGAGTAGAGTGAGGACAGTGACAGGGTCACCAGAAACCATCATCATCATCATTATTATCAGGCCCTGAACCAACCTGCCAGACACCTGGGCAGGTGCACGCACTGATGCTGCCTGCAAAGCCTGGGTAACCATGCAACTCAGACATACTGGAGGCAAACCGCTGTCATTCTAGGCAGTGAGGTCATCAGGAGTCCCCAGTGTCACTGTTTTAAACAGGTCCTTCATCAACATGAAGAGCCGTGTCCTTTAACCACCACAATTCCACGGAGACCTGCACCCTCCAACCTGAAATTAGCTGACATAATTTATGAAGCAGATCCTTCTCAGTTTCCTCACATATTTGATTTTAATATTTCATAGCATTATGGAGTGGCTTCAATATTTTAAAGCAAAATTGAATATGATTGATATTTCATAACAACACTTTTATTACCATGAAATTCCCATACAAACATTTGGAGACGTTGGTTCAACACTTGAGCTAACCTATGACGCACACAGAGTAAAACTTCATGACTTCTGATCCATTTATTTACAAACTATGTTTTGTTTACATACTAAGGACAAAATATGCATTTGTTACCAAGTTCCAGGGACCCTGGAAAAATTCACACAAACGAGATGCGGGGACAATGTCTTATGTAAGGCAGTATGCAGGTGTGAACCTCTGCACCAGCTATGATAAAGAATCTATTTTATCTCCAGAACCCTACCTCTCAGATTAAGAAAAATCAAGATGCCAGAGACAATTCCTGGCTCCAAATTCAAATCCTAATACACTCTTTCAGGGACCCTCTTCTACAAGTCAGCAGGATATTCCGCATGCAACTGAGCCATACAAGGGTACTTCAGAAAGTTCGTGGAGAAATGGAATTGAAAGATCAGTTTATACCGGTGCAAAAATTTTTTGAAATCCACGTATAATTTTTTTAACATTCATTTTCAAGAACATTTTCGAGCCCCCTCATATGTACGTCAAACCAGAAGTGATAAATTGCTATCTTAAATAAGAACAATACATTCTAAGCTGATAGTTCTGAGGCTTTCTGCTCATACACGTCCACAGTTCTAATTGGGACTAAGAAAATTAATTTGAACATATGAGAAGCAGATATCAGAGAAGGGAAGGAATTCTATTTCAAAGTTACTCTTTAAACGTTTGACTAATGCTGCATTTCAAAGGGATTTGGAAAGAACTCTCTCCATAGTCATTATTTGTGAATCTTGCTTTTATAGAGCATTGAACTGATTGTTCAAAGTCTTGTACATCCACACACATGTTCTCTTTACCACGTCTCCTTGCTATCAGGAAGGCTGAGCAGGAAGAAGCCAGAGAGTCATCTTGGCACAACATACATTCGCACGACTTTCACTGTTGTAGCCAATACGGTGGCGTAGAATTTTTTTTTTTGAAAGATCATAACAGCATGTCAAAATGCCGGCTGAAGTTTATATTGTGATTACTATGGAAAATTCCAATTGGATCCTTAATAACCGAGCCTTGGGCATAAAATGAAATGCAGTCAACCCCAGCATAGGAGAGACATGAGAGGGAAGCTGTAAGTAGTCCTGGCAGCCTTGCAGACGGAAGCTGCCCTCCTTCGGTGCTCCCACGAGGAGGGAACTGGCGACGGGCAGACTGGTGGCACAGGGGCCTCCTCATCTGTCCAGCTGAGGAACCAGCTTGGAGATACATCACATCCATTCTCAACCTTAATGACAATGAGCAGCCCTTGTGTTTCTAGAGCATTCCACTGATGACATAGGTCTTTCTACGCTCATTCTTCTGGGAAATAGCCCATATTTGTCAACTGCCCTTGGAAAATATGTTTTCCACATGGACTCGATGGTTAGGTTCCGGGTACCCCAGCTGTTCTGCATGTTGCTGCATGAAACCTGTTCATTTTTATAGTGAGTGAGTTCCACATCCTTGGAAATACAGTAGAATGAAGAGACCTGGTCTCTTAAGTGGGCAGGACACGGGAGGCGGATACGCAGTCCTTCTTCAGTAAGGACTCTGATATGTGGAAATGTGCTGGACAGGAACAGCAGTGGCCAAGGCCGTGGGCACGGTGTTGCAGGAATGTGGGAGCGGTCTTCAGGAGGACAGAGCCCCGGGGGTGTTAAGGAGGTGGCAGGCGTCAGAAGAGTCATAGGTGGCAAGGAGAGCCTGATAGGTCCTGGCTGACTAAGGCGGAAGCTGAGTGGGACTCCGTGGCCCAGCACACGGAAGCTCCAGGGCTCAGGCCAGGTTGCTCAGGGCGAGAGGCTTTGGGAAGTGGGGGAAGAGACGGTTGAGAGATTCAGGTGGAAGGCACCAGCAGGGACGTTCCTGGGATGTTTTGAACGAGAACATCTATTTTCGGAAGATTAAGTCCTGATATCTAGAGGTAAACCAGAGAAAAGGAACTGGAGACCAGCTGAGAAGGTGTCACAGGTGAGAATTAACCAGTGCCAAAGGTGGCTGCTGG